GTCACTGATGACTATGTCTCGCCTCTTCGAGCTCGTTCCGCTCTGCCATCAGTTCCTCGAGCTCCTTGGGCTTGTCCCAGGCATCTGCCTTGGAGTATGGGAGCTTCTCATTCTCAAACATGGAGTTCAGGGATAAGGCAGGGTTTAGGCAGGGTCCCTTTGAAGGGGTTCTGGGGATGCATAGGGCTTCAAGCTTAGGATTTGGGGCTTAGAGTTGCGCTTGGGATTTGGGGTTTGAGGCTTTCCGTTTGATTTGGGGCTTAGGAGTTGCGTTTGGGATTTGGGGTTTGAAGCTTTCCGATTTCATTCCAGCAGACTTGACAACGGCTAAGGAGTAACGGTACAGAGAAAGGCTGCCGACCTCCGCGTGCATCTGAATCACTTGTGTAAACAGGCTTCCAGAAGCCCCCAAGAAAAAAAGAGCCAGCATGTGAAATCCCAGCTTCATCCGTATAGCAACTTCGTTTTCTTCCAGGCGCGGTGCCAATGGTAACATCTGAGAAAAGGAGGGGTGATCGCTAGACGACCGAATCCTAAGCACTAAATCTCCGTGCCATTCGGCGCCCTTACCACAGAACCCCAAAAGCATGGTCGAACACATGGTTCCTTCTAAACCCCTGGAGCTTCTGTTGTAATACATTTACTGTTATGACTACTATTATCACCCTCCACTAAGACCCAAAATGCATCATCCCAGCGGCCATTGCTTGATCTACTTCAGCAAGCCTTTCCTGGCGTGAAAGAAGGCTTAGAATTTGAGGTGCGTAGCTGCTTTGGGCTTTGAGCCCCTTAATCCTAAACCCTAAATCCTAAGCCCTAAACCCCTAAACCCAAAAACCTAAACCCTTTGGCAGCTTTTGGGCTGATCTGGTGCGTTTGCAGTGGGTTCTGCATGCCCCTACTCGCATGCTTCAGATTTAGGGTTTGGAGGGTCCTGTACAGCATCTCTTGCAGCACACTGGTAGTAGTGCAGCTTTCCAGGACTCTCTACGCGAATCCCCCTCAAACCCTAAAGCCCAAACCCTAAACGCCAAACTCTAAACCCCAAACCCTAAATCCCAGAACCTAAACCCAAGTCTACTGAAGGCTTTGGGGCTTGAAGGAGGAGCCCACCCCTCTGAAGCAGGAGTGTGATACCTGGCCGTTTTCAAAAAATGTGGGTCCTTCCCCTTATTTACCTCCAAAATACTTTAATCCTTATTGTAAGACCCCCAGAACTGGACCCCTAAATTCTAGGAAGCCGCCATATGAACAAAGTCTAAACTCCTAGTATCCTCCTTGATACGCCCACGAATAGTCCCCTATAGAATCCCCTCTATTATCCCCTATATAACCCCCACTTTAAGGAGTTTAGACCCCAAACCCTGAACCCTAAATCCTAAACCCTATATCATCCCCCTATATAACCCTCCTTCAAGGAGTTTAGACAATGGCTCATATAACCTTCATTAACCTCTATATATATATATATAGCAGCTTCTATGTCATTCTCCATTTTCTTTTCCATTTGATTCTCCATTAGGAGGGTATATATATAACCCTTAGCAGGGTATATATAATCCTAAACCCTAAACCCATATACCTTAAACTCCGAGGCCCCCATATTGATCCAAGCACAGCAGCCAACCTCCAGCCGAGAGATCTCCTTCTCCAATCGGACCATTTCCCTGCCCAGTGGAAGTTTGCGAGCTTCAAGGGAGAGCAGCCCAATGAGTAGCTACTAGCACTTAGGGGTTAAGGGTTTAGGATTATAGGGCTTAGGGTCTATACCTGGAACCCAAATGTATGTAAGATAATTCCGTTTATTATGTGTTCAGGGCTATTATTTTACATACTTTTAGGGTTTAGGTAGAGGCAAACACAAAGGGCAGTACCTAGAATCTAGAATCTCGAGGACGCCCGGAGCAGCGCAGAGCATTGCAAGTGTTCAGAAGTGGGATGTGGAAGACGCAGCCTATATTTGCTGTCATCACTTCCCCCACTTGGAATAATTACATGGGTCTGGATTCCGGCATCAGTCTCTGAAACCAAGCAAAGGGAGAAACATGTTGCAACACGACCACATGTCCAATGCTGCGGCGAGTTGGGCATAATTTGCCAACTGGCATGAACCGTAACGGAATATTGCTACTGTTGTTGCCATTATAGCGTTCCTAGTACTGAATATTACTAATACGATTACCATTAGTGCGACTACAATCACAACAACTACTATCATGATTACTACCATAAGGTCAGAGAATAATCTAACCACCACCACTGCTGGAAGGAGGGCTCATAGCCGTTTTGTCTCCAAGTATTGGCCTCAAAGGTTGGAACCGTACCTAAATTCAGAACCACTTGGCAGACCAACATCATCAGCCGTGCTAAGCCTTCAGTCCTAAACCCTAAACCCTAAACCCTAACTGCTAAATCCTAAACCCTTGACCCTAAGCCTTAATTCCTAAGCCATTAACCCTCCTCTCCGGCCTCTCTGCCTTCTTGTCAGCCCTCTGCTTGGATTGCTTTGGCTTTGGGCTTGGCCTTGGAAGAAGTGTGGTTTAGGGTTTAGAGTTTTAGGGTTTAGGGTTAGGGAGGGTTTTGGGGTTTCACTTTAGGTTTCCCATAATAGGGGTAACGTAATATGCACCGAAAAATACAATTTCTTGTATTGGGACCCCCAGAAAGGGAACCCCAATTTTGAGAAACCCTGTCTTTCCCGCAGTAAGTAAACCCACCACAAACATCCCTAATCCCTAAACGCTGTAGGTTTTAGGGTTTTTCGGTGAAAGCAACACTCCCATTTAGCATAATAGTACTATCATGATCTGTTTGCTGCTAAGGAGTCATGAAGCACCCCTTCGCACCGCGCATCATACGCTCCATTCTGTAAAAACATCTTATAAAAAAGCCTATGTACCAGGGTTGGTACCCGGAATCCTACAGCTTCAGCTGTGAGATAGAAGCTAGGACGCGTTTTTGAGGATGAGGTCTGGGGGTGTAAGGTTAGGGTACCTTGCACCAACAATGGTACTAACGAAAAAGCACAAACCCAATTGAGCAGTGCAACTGGAGGATGTTGAGCTTCAAGACCAACAAGCTGCGGTAGAGCATAGTTCATCTGGGATAGGTATTTCTGGAACCCCCCCACCCTCAAAGCACAAACCAGCACTTCCATAGATTTGGATAAGTTGGGGAGCGCCCTTATATACCCCAATCTACGAAAATGTTTATTCTGGAGACCACCAAGAAGGGTCCCCTTTTTTCGGAACAAAGTCCAATTAACACTACCTTCCATTCTTCTGCGCCAAGTGCCGCGCTGGGCCGGAGTACTCACAGCCACGTCGTTGGACTGCCTGTTCAACTATACTTGTCGCAATCCGAATCCTACGGACTGCACATCATCTTAACTTAGTTATATGAATGAAAAGTCATCACCTCTCAGTAATGTTGACGCTGACTTGAGAGATCGAGACTGAACAGTAGGCGCTAGCTTATAATCAGGAAGGACAGTTGCCCAATCGAAGGTGGCTGCTCTCTGGCAAAGCTTTGAAACCACACAGCAAAATCTGCAACTTATCCCCTCAACTGTGGCTAACCAGCATCAGCGAACTTGGTTTCAGGAACACATGATATCATGACTAACGTCCTGCCAGGCTTTCTAACTGGGAGTTTTGCAAGTTGCGTTTGTGTTTCAACATCTTGTAAAAATGGGTTGCCCGGCATAGGGCACGGGCATGCCAAAACAAGGACCACTGTTGTGATGACATCGTCTGGGCAATACCAAGATTTGAACGCACATTGTTGATGACTGCTTGCAAGTCTACGGTTGATGGCTGCCTGCAATTCTAGGCCGGGGGGTTATCAGAAGAATGGTGCCTCTATGAGCCACCCTGAATATTGGGGTCGTATTACAATGGTAACCCAAGAAGCGGCCGTAATTTGTGCAGCCAAACCCTAAAACCCTATACCTACACCCTAAACCCCTAAACCCGAAACTCCTAACCCCAACCTGCTGTTTTCCTCGGACATGTGGCCAGCGATTGGGGCTTGGCAGCATGATCAACACTCCACAGGGCGGTGCACTCAAGCCTTCGCCGTGCATCTGCGTGAGAGCACTGTACCAGGCCGGTGCAGAGCCGTGCAAAGCTGAAGATGCTGCATGAGACCACACATCAAAGCGACTGATTCCGAGAAGGATTTGATATGGCACTTTCCCAAAATAAGGGGACCCCACTCCAATATAGACCCTGATATACTATAATCCTTATTATGGACACCCCCCAAAAGGGTACCCTTAATTTTGGGAAAGCCTTATATACTTGAAGCAGCACAACCTGCCGCTACAAGCATTCATGGAGATTCTCGAAAGAAGACAGGCTCGAGGTCGGACAAAAACGAAGCATGCAACCTTTGCTAATAAACCCTGAATAGTAGTTTCTATTTTTGTTGTCCATTATCCGTACATAACCCCTACATAACCCCTGAATAGACCCTAAACCCTATGTTGAGCTCTGGCTAAGGAATGCTTGGCCATGGACCTCTTCAGCCGGCATGCAGCCAGGCCCACCTCTTGAGCTGGCACCGTGAACAGGCATGCGCAGCCGAGACAACCTTGCCATCCTGCCAAAACCCGTGTAGCCTCTAGCTGAAAGCCATCGAGGGTTAATTACAACCGACAGCCTAACACCCAAAATGGTAGTTTCCATTTTCTTTTCCATGATCCCTATATAACTCACATATAATTTATATAACCCCTTTTCACTGAACAGTGATCTGGGGCTCAAATGCTCAAGTCGCAGGATCATGCATCATGGCGGCTCAGCGCTTCCGCCTGGCCAACTCCCTTTTCAGCTGGCCGACAAGGTCATCTTCTCCAAGTTTAGTCGCTGCTAGCAAGGACATCTGCAACCTTTACCGGCCATACAAATTTTGGTAAAAGATTGCGCTAACAACTTCATGTGCTTCTGACGCACAAGAAACCACATACTTTCCTCAAGAAGCCAAGCAACTGTTGTGGCCTCATCAGAGCCACCTGCGCTGAAATTTGATTCACAAGAACCGGCACGGCCGCAAGAGCTCCGGGTGATGCAGTTCGCAAAAGAGCGATCGCAGCCAAATTGTCGGATAAGTCCTGAGAATTCATGCCCTTCAAGTGGACTATGCGTTCAGTAATGATTGGCACCACGTTTAGAACTTCTGGCGCTGCATTCTGCAATGTTGCAGCGGCCAACAAGCTGTTCGACAGTTGATGTGAGGTCATGTCGTCTGCCGTGTGAGATATCTGCTGCACAACAGCTGGGACAGCCGACAGCACCTCCGGTGCAACATCTTTCAACTCGGCAGCTGAAAGCAGGCAACTCGAGAGATGCCATGGAAGCATGTCGTGCACCTTGTGTGGCACGCGTCCAGACATGGCCGGCACAGCCGTCAGCACGTCCGGTGCTGCACCTTGCAGTTTGGAAGCTGCCCACAAGCTGTTTGACAGATCCTGAGGCTGCATCTCCTCGATCTTGTCAGGTATGCGCTGCGAGATTGCCGGCACACATTTCTTTACCTTTGGCGCTGCATCTTGCAACTTCGCAGCTGCCCACAGGCTGTTTGCTAGCCCTTGTGGCTCCATGCCATCTACCTTGTCAGGTATGTGCCGCGAAATGGCCGGCACGGCTGTCAACACCTCTGACGCCTCATCCTGCAACTTCGCAGCTGCCCACAGGCTGTTTGACAGATGCTGAGGCTGCATCTCCTTGACCTTGCCAGGTATACGCTGCGAGATTGCCAGCACGCATTTTTTTACCTCTGGCGCTGCATCTTGCAACTTCGCAGCTGCCCACAGGCTGTTTGACAGATGCTGAGGCTGCATCATCTCGGCCTTGTCAGGTATGCGCTGCGAGATTGCATGCACGCATTTTTTTACCTCTGGCGCTGCATCTTGCAACTTCGCAGCTGCCCATAGGCTGTTTGATAGTTCTTGTGGCTTCATACCATCTACCTTGTCAGGTATGTGCTGCGAGATGGCAGGCACAGCTGTCAACACCTCTGGCGACTCATCCTGCAACTTCGCAGCTGCCCACAAGCTGTTTGAGAGCTCTTGAGGCTTCATCTCCTCGACCTTGTCAGGCATGTACTCCACAGTGCTCTTCACGCAAGGAAGCAACCCAACAACTTTACCATGGAGCTCAGCATTTGCCCAAAAGACGTTTGCCACACCACGGGCATCTACCATGTCTTCTTGCAGCATGGTCTGCAACCGCGCCACAAGTCTTAGCCAAACTGGGCTACCCGCATCTGTTCGCCTGATCTTTCGCTGCCGGCTGAATCTGGCTAACCGAGTAAATGCTGCTGACAGGTGAAAGTCATTGAAGACCTCGCCATCCACTTCCCTGCCCACAAGTTTGAGGATTGCGGCTGCAGATCCAGCGTTGGAGATCTTGGACAACAACACCCTAGAATCCGGTCCACGGTTCTTGGAGTTTGACGTTCCGCGTCGCCGCTCCCGTACTGCTCTGATAGTTCTGGGTGGCAGCTTTGGGCGGTTGAGATGGACTGCCAGCGTAGCACACGAACTTTGTGGCCAGCAGGCGTAGCCCGTACAGAACGCTCGGCTGCCGCCAGCCAAGCTGTCAAAAACGAAGATTATGCTCCATGACAACACAAGTATTCTTGCTAGGCAGCTCCGTGGAATCTCCGCTGGCCTCTCTCCAAAGTTGCCGGCTTCCAGAAGACCACTTTCATGGTGTTTGGCGACCATCTCAACATCCATACCCTGTGTTGACCAGAACTTTCGGGTTGACAGTGCAAAAGTCTAGGTGCGAATGACAAGTGTGGGCTTGAGGCCCTAAGTCATGAACTCGCTCGATGTCTAAAACTTGCTCTCGGCATCTGAACCGTAGAAAGTGCTTCCAGCGTTGCACGACAACACAGTACCACACAATGAGTACTGAGCAGGGCCTCACCGGTATGGCTGACGTAGGCAAAGCTACTTGATTCTGTAACTTGGGTATAAGTCATAAGTATAGACCTGCTTACCTAATTGCTTTAGGACACTAGCCCACCAGAAGGTATGGTCTATACTATGCACCCATTCTGTAACATGTGCGGGTGGTTGCAGCGATTGCAAGTTGGGCAGCAAAACACATTCTTCCACATCCACACACCATATTCTACATGAATCAATGCTTGATGAACTTAAATCCGCATATACACACACACACCTCACATACATTCCTTGTTGTAGAAAACCGTCTTCAAGTAAGATCTTTGAACTATGCATCAGCAATGGCAAAGACATGCAAGCGCGACCAAGGACTTAAACAGCTTGAAAACGAAAAGCTGTGACATAGGTCCTAGGCTAAAACCCTAGACCCCAACAACTCTGAAATTCTGGACCGTAACACCGCAAGACCCTAAACCCGACGCCCGAAATCCCTAAACCCTCAACCCTTCAACCTTTCAACCCTAAACACCTAAAGACCTAAACCCCTAAAACCCTAAACCCTGAACACCTAAACCTCTAAAACCCTAAAACCCCTAAAACCCTGAAACCCTAAAACCCCTAAAACCCCTAAACCCCATGGCCTCAGGCCTCAAACGCCAGCCCTGGGCGGATTGGGCAGCGGAGCTGCGCCGCTGAGCCCTGGCG